CCTTTAAGGGTTGTCACGTGACTTATACAGTGGGGGAAAAAAGTATTTAGTTAGCCACCAATTGTGCAAGTTCTCCCACTTAAAAAGATGAGAGAGGCCTGTAATTTTCATCATAGGTATACCTCAACTATGAGAGACACAAAATGAGAAAAAAAAATCCCGAAAATCACATTGTAGGATTTTTAAAGAATTTATTTGCAAATTATGGTGGAAAATAAGAATTTGGTCAATAACAAAATTTCATCTCAATACTTTGTTATATACCCTTTGTTGGCAATGACAGAGGTCAAACGTTTTCTGTAAGTCTTCACAAGGTTTTCACACACTGTTGCTGGTATTTTGGCCCATTCCTCCATGCAGATCTCCTCTAGAGCAGTAATGTTTGGGGGCTGTCGCTGGGCAACACGGATTTTCAACTCCCGCCAAAGATTTTCTATGGGGTTGAGATCTGAAGACTGGCTAGGCCACTCCAGGACCTTGAAATGCTTCTTACAAAGCCACTCCTTCGTTGCCCGGGCGGTGTGTTTGGGATCATTGTCATGCTGAAAGACCCAGCCACGTTTCATCTTCAATGCCCTTGCTGATGGAAGGAGGTTTTCACTCAAAATCTCACAATACATGGCCCCATTCATTCTTTCGTTTACACGGATCAGTCGTCCTGGTCCCTTTGCAGAAAAACAGCCCCAAAGCATGATATTTCCACCCCCATGCTTCACAGTAGGTATGGTGTTCTTTGGATGCAACTCAGCATTCTTTCTCCTCCAAACACGACAAGTTGAGTTTTTACCAAAAAGTTATATTTTGGTTTCATCTGACCATATGACATTCTCCCAATCCTCTTCTGGATCATCCAAATGCTCTCCAGCAAACTTCAGACGGGCCTGGACATGTAATTGTCATGCTGAAAGACCCAGACACGTTTGATCTTCAATGGCCTTGCTGATGGAAGGAGGTTTTGGGCCTGGACATGTACTGGCTTAAGCAGGGGGACACGTCTGGCACTGCAGGATTTGAGTCCCTGGCGGCGCAGTGTGTTACTGATGGTAGCCTTTGTTACTTTGGTCCCAGCTCTCTGCAGGTCATTCACTAGGTCCCCCCGTGTGGTTCTGGGATTTTTGCTCACAGTTCTTGTGATCGTTTTGACCCCACGGGGTGAGATCTTGCGTGGAGCCCCAGATCGAGGGAGATTATCAGTGGTCTTGTATGTCTTCCATTTTCTAATAATTGCTTCCACAGTTGATTTCTTCACACCAAGTTGCTTACCTATTGCCGATTCAGTCTTCCCAGCCTGGTGCAGGTCTACAATTTTGTTTCTGGTGTCCTTTGACAGCTCTTTGGTCTTGGCCATGGTGGAGTTTGGAGTGTGACTGTTTGAGGTTGTGGACAGGTGTCTTTTATACTGATAACGAGTTCAAACAGATGCCATTGATACAGGTAACCAGTGGAGGACAGAGGAGCCTCTTAAAGAAGAAGTTACAGGTCTGTGAGAGCCAGAAATCTTGCTTGTTTGTAGGTGACCAAATACTTATTTTACCGAGGAATTTACCAATTAATTCTTTAAAAATCCTACAATGTGATTTTCTGGATTTTTTTTCTCATTTTGTCTCTCATAGTTGAGGTATACCCATGATGAAAATTACAGGCCTCTCTCATCTTTTTAAGTGGGAGAACTTGCACAATTGGTGGCTGACTAAATACTTTTTTGCCCCACTGTATGTGTTTTAAAGTCTATTTTAAGATTTTAAAAGACTTTTTATTATTGCTGTTGTTGTTTTTAATTAGCTAGTTAGCATTGGCGTTCCTCTGCATAACCACATCGGGGGCCTGTTAAAATGCCTGAAGTGTGTTGCTTATTTACTTCTATTGTTATTAGTTTCTCAAAGGAAGACCGGTCTCTTCCTTCCTGTTGTTTGTGTTGTTAGGTGTTAATTGTGTAAGAATTATCATGGTGTGCACTAGGGATGTAACGATTAACCGCGAGCCGGTTGAAAATCGATTTAAGTATGTGATGATTCAAATCGGTTGAGATGCTAAACAAATCGCGATTCTATTAGGGGTTGGATTTTATATGAACGTATGTCAGAGGGGAACTTACTGTCTTTCGATGGTATTTTTTTCTTTTCCTCTTGCCTCTGTATAATGCATATTAAAGTTCATAAATCCAGCGCTGCTTTGTTTACAGCGGAAACCAAGGAAACACTTTAAGCGCCACCTGCTGGCAGAGAGTGAATCTGCGTCTCATTCAGCTCGTCTGCTGTTTGTTTCATGCAGATATTTTTTTTATGCATAGATTCACAAAACTGAAGTCAAACCATTCTGTTTTGCTTCAAATTTTGAAATTATACAATGTAATTTAGATTAAAAACTGCTCATGTTGCATGTACGCAGCATCTCTGTTTGTATCATGATTAAAATGCAGTGGTTGCCTCTAATTTTAAATGGAAAGAGCACAGACAAAGCCTTAGTTTGTTTATATGAAGAGATTTATTTTGTGTTACTTATTTATTTGATTTGGGGCTTGTTTTAAAATGTCAATTTAGGTTTGTCATTTACATTTACATTATATTTAAATTTTGTTATTTAGCAAACGTTTTTATCCAAAGCGACTAACAAATGAGGACAATAGAAGCAATCAAAACCAACAAAAGAGCAATAATTTGTGCTATATTAGTATATGATTATAGTGTTATATTTCAATTTCACAAAAAAACTTACAGTATTATGTCCAAGCGATAATAAAATGACACATTTAATTTCTAATTTGTCTTAAATCTCATTTTGTAAAAAAACTATTGTGAATCGAACCGTGAATAGAATCGAATCGTGAGTTGAGTGAATCGTTACATCCCTAGTGTGCACTGTGCAGAAAGGTTTGTGTGGTGTTTTCCCTTGCTGCATCGGTGATTGGTGTGTAAATCAGTGGTTGAGCAGCAGTGCTGCTGTACTGAAGGTCAGAGCTGTGTGTTTGTGTGTGCGTTGAGTGTTACTCTCACTGCAGACCCTCGCAGCACATCAGCTCAGTGTGACGTACACTCGCTGCAGTATCATTACACTTCCCTTTTGTCACGAACAACAGGCAAACTTGTTTGTGTGAAGGGGATTGTCTGTAAGTGGGTGAATCTCACAAAGAATGCCTTGGTCATATTTCACACTGAAATTATAAAATCTTCAAATCCCTGATATATGTCATTAAGATATTAATAATTTTAGATAATATTTTTGATGTTATTATATGTAAATGTAAGATTTGTATAAAATATAAGAATAATTTGCATCATTTTTGTCCATGTGTATGTATATTATTGCTGTCAAACGATTAATCACATCCAAAATAAAAGTTTTTGTTTACGTAATATATGTTTGTGTACTGTGTATATTAATTATGTATATATAAATACACACACATACAGTATATATGTTGAAATTATTTACATGTATATATTTATATTCATATAATTTATATTATATATAAATATAATTAATATATAAACAGCATATTTTTATGAAATATATACATGCATGTGTGTGTATTTTTTTTAGGGCTGTCAGTCGATTAAAATGTTTAATCTAATTAATTGCAAACTAAATTTGGCTGTGAAAATACCCCCAAAAGATCATTTAAACCTAATATTGTGTTAAATGTTTAGGCTACAATGGCCTAACATAAAATATGGAACAAGAAGATAATTCGAGAAACATCTCAGTATTTTTTGTTCATGCAATGGAAGTTACTAGTGACCAAAATACCTTCTTTTATGTTGTGCAAAAGAAAGTAAGTCATTCAGTTTTGAAACAAGAGGGTGAGTTTGATAACAGAATTTATTTATTTTTGGTGAACTATCCCTTTAATGTTTTTTTTAAATAAATGAAATGATACTCTAAAGAAGAAACTAAAACTTCCAGCAGGTGGCGGTAAATGTCTTTGAGTCGATATGTTCAAACGGCTGATTCATTCAGGAATTCAGTAAACTGAATCATTGGTTCACACGATTCATTCAAAACGCAGATTCATTCAGAAACTAAACACCGCTGTGTTGCTTGGAGATGCACAACAGTTTTGCTGTGGCTTTATAGGTAATATGTTTGTTGGCAAAATTGAACAAAACGCACAATATTGCGTTTAAATTTTGCACAATATTAACTTCTTATTTACTGAACTCTTGAATAAAATCCCATTTGCACTCGTGTTCTTCGTGACAAAAACAGCACTCTTGTGATATTGCTCTTGCTGCTGGTGTGATATCGCTTATCATATGATATAAATATGAGACAAAAACTAATACAGAAAATACAAAAACTTTTTTGCCCCAATGTCTTAAATTTTTGTGGCATAACTGCATTTATGGAGTTGTTGTCCTGCATCATATTTGTCAACAGTAAATCACTCGCATATGCGAGTAAATCTTCACTCGGGCGACTAAATGATGTCTAACATTAGCCAATGGCTAATAAATTCTCAGATTTTACTCGCCAGTGTGTGAGTTGGAGGCTGAGTATAAGTTTAGCACAGATATATTTTCACTCGCCGGACACTCTGACTGAGCGCTTCAGAGTTTCACTCTCTGTCAAGCAATCTGTGATATTTTTCAGTTCATCTGAATGGATGCGCAGCGCACCTGTATTTAACGTACTATAAATTCTAGTGTGAAGGCGCACACCTTGCCGTCACTTTGTCTCACACACACGTGCAGAGAGAGAATTGACGCACTACATGTAAACAATATTCTTTGTTGTATTTTCTTGTCAAAATAACAGCATTCCTTTGGAATTCTTTAGCTTTTAAGAACTGCCGGGTTTCTCCGGTAGTGAGTGGAACTAATGCGTAAACGGCAATCTCATTGGCTGGCACTCACCTATTATCGTCCCTGTTTTGATTTCAGCAAATCAGTTTGAGCGAACACACACAACCTGATTAATATTCATGAATCCAGCAGCTCATTAATCCTTAATGTGTTTTAAATTTAAATCCTTATTGGTAGAATTCGTATCATTATTATCTTATCAGTATTACACTGAATGACCAAGGGGAAGTCGTGGCCTAATGGTTAGAGAGTCAGACTCGTAACCCTAAGGTTGTGGGTTCGAGTCTCATACCGGCAGGGATTGTAGGTGGGGGGAGTGAATGTACAGTGCTCTCTCTCCCACCTTCAATACCACGACTGAGGTGCCCTTGAGCAAGGCACTAAACCTCCAACTGCTCCCCGGGCATCAATTCTCTCTCTGCCCACTGCTCCGGGTGTGTGTTCACGGTGTGTGTGTTCACTGCTGTGTGTGTACACTTTGGATGGGTAAAATGCAGAGCACTAATTCCAAGTACGGGTCACCATACTTGGCCACATGTCATGTCATTTTGTCACTTTCAAAAAGCACCACCAACAGTTCAGTTAAAATGACTAATATGCATTCATACATGGTTATCATGTTTAAATTCTAATTACTAAAGTTCTATCATTAAATAATACTTGATTATCATATTATAATGCTTGACTGACTGATGTTAAGTGTACTTTCAGATATTTAAAAACTGTGCCATTTTACAAACATTTTCATGTACAGTCGTGGTCAGAATTGTTGGCACCCTTGGTAAATATGATCAAAAAATAAATCTGCATTGTTAATCCTATTGATCTTATATTTAAATTATTTTTTACAAAAATATAACCTTTCATTAAAGAATAAGAATTGAAAATGGGGGGAAATCTCATTATGAAATAAATGCTTTTCTCTAATACATGTTGGCCACAATTAATGGTACCCTTTTATTCAATACTTTTTGCATCAACCTTTTGCCAAGAGAACAGCTCTGAGTCTTTACCTATAATGCCTAATGAGTTTGGAGAACATCTGACAAGAGATCAGAGACCATTTCTTCATCCAGAATCACTCCAGACCCTTCAGTTTCCCAGCTTCTCCTCTTCAGTTCACCACACTCATTTTCTATAGGGTTCAGGTCAGAGGACTGGAATGGCCATGGCAGAATATTCGTTTTGTGCTCGGTGACCCATTTTTGTTTTGATTTTGATGTTTGTTTTTGGATCATTGTCCTGGTGTAAGATCCAACCTTGCCCCATTATAAGATTTCTAGCATGGACAGTCAGTTTTCAATTTTTTATCTGTTGCTATTTGATAGAATCCACAATGCCATGCATCTAAACAAGATGTCCAGGACCTCCGGCAGAAAAATACACCAACAACATTAAAGATCCAGCAGTATATTTCATTGTACACATGGGGTACTTTTTTACTCCTGTGTGCACCAAACCTATCTTGAGTGTTTGCTGCTAAAAAGCAGATTTTTAGTTTTTATCTGACCATAGGACCCAGTCCTGTTTGAAGTTCCAGTAGTGTCTGGCAAATTAATACGCTGGAGTT